CAATTACTACATACAGAGTGAGATTCCAAAGTAATACAACTTCATCAATTTTGTAACCTGTTTACCTAATATATTAAGAGACCACCATAACCGTACAAGTCATCTTACTCATCTAAAATTAACTCCCTTGGGTCTGCAGCGAGGAGGATCGTGAAACATAAAGAAGTCCAATGCACTTCAGATAACATAAGTCACCAGGAGCAAGTGCATAGCACACACATTGGCCTTAGAATTCATTAAAGAGAACTCTATTGTGCTGCTAATCATGTAACATTGACTACCTCAGGTCTGCAAGCAGGATCATGAACACATAAAAAGATCCAGTGCACTTTGGATAACAGAAGTCATCACTGGGATCAAGTACATAGCACACATCAGAGTGAGAGTTCATTGAAGAGTGCTCTCTAGAAACCACCTAAAAGGCTTAGGCAACGGCAATTTTTTATCGGTTAGAAGCACCAACATATTCCATTAATAGAAATTTTGAAGCATGTTTTAAATTTGCAGCATGATAATAAACCTAATACCTATGAAGATTATAAATGCATTTAGTATCATGAAGCTCATGTTGTTGACCTTGAAGAAATAATGCAAAACATTGCCTTAAGAGTAGTCCTTAATACGATTCAAGTAAGGAATTTGGAACTTACACAGTGTCATTGTTTACAGCAAGCTTCTGCTCCTGGGTTCTGTGTGAAATAGACTGCAGCGAAAGGTCAATATGAACAGTGCCCTTGCCTGAATGAGTAGTCTCCAGAACTTTGCACTTTACAAATTGTCCTTCATGATATCCAGACAGCGGATCAGCAACCCCTGGATCTGTCAGTTCAGTGAAATGAACCTTACCATATAGGTGTGGATCAATCTGAACAAGCAATCCACCAACACCTGGAAAGATTTTGGAAATCCTGCCACCCAAAACACTGCCTTCACGAATATGAAATGCCATATTTTCACTTGAATGATCCGTGGGGCCATCTTTTTGACGGGCAGATCTTTCCAGGTCAACCAACAGTGGTCGTGAAATCAAGCGCACCAACTTCTTCTCCTTATTAGCACTTAAAACATAACCGGAAAAAGACCTGCCGATAGAGAACCTTTTCTGAAATTCATCTAGCTCATTAGGCTCACTTGAGCTATCTAAGACGTGGAGCTGGGCCTTAACATCTCGAGATATCGTTAGCCAAGCCCATTCATTGTCAACTTTGTACACAAAGCCAGTAACGAGTTGGCCGGTTGAATAATTGAATTCTTCAACGGGCTCAATTTCACCAGATCCTGGAGATGCAAGTAGAACAACGATAGTCAAAAGGAATACCTTAAAAAAAAGTAGACTTGCCTCACTTGAACATGAAATCAGTCATGTCTATTAAAGAATGTCAATCTGACCATCTTAGAACAACCCCTGGTTCATAAGATTTATTTTAGTTTGTATTTCTTTGAACGGGATAAAAATATGCTTTTCTGCATCTACCCTGACCATTGAAAGCCAATTTTTTTTTTTTGAGAAAGGTAACCAAAGAAAGCCAAGATTTTTAAATCTTAGCAAGTCAACATTTGTAGCCATAAACTCATGTAAACAATGAATGTGATTTATTGAATAAAAGTTAAGAGCTCTCAGCATCATGCATATATGCGCCAACCACAAATATATAAGACAGGGAACAATAGCCCAGTCAAAGAATGGCCCGACATATCCTGTATATAGCAAAGGATAGAATCACGAGACTTTTTGGTGTCAGTAACATAAGAATAAGCAACAAGCGCAAAGACACAAGGATTGGGTAAAATATAGGTCCTACTACACATATTGGGCTTGTGGAGCTTACAAAGTAACAAAAATAAGGTAACAAACCTTCTAGTAATATGTCACATAATACAGATTTCAGTATATTTTTTTGATAAGGTACCATCTGGAGTTTAACAGTCAAAGGTAAAGTTTGACAATCTATGGACAGAGGCGGAGCCAGAATCTGAAGTTTCTGGGTTCAGAATTTTAGCCCTTTTAAGTTATTGTGTTATGAATTAATAATCTGAACATATTAAATGAATTTCTTAAGACAAATATAGAGTTTGGACCAAAGTTACTGGGTTCGGCCGAACCGCGCCTCGGTCTCTAGGTTCGCCCATGTCTATGGATTTGATCTAACAAGAAGAATGCAAATATGTCCAAATTGGATGAGGTAGAAGACAAGCATAAGTGGATGAAATTCATATGAAGTCAGTCAGTATAAAAAAAAGGTCTCATGCCATACGTGGCCATGTTATCATTTCACCTGCAAGTGTGGATGGTTTAATGGATAGCTCCCACTGATAGCCTCTCTTAATACTTTCTGACATATTGGACTTTGAAATAATCCTTGCAGTAAGAGTCTGCCCAAATCTGAAGTTACTAAATGGAGCTTCAGCATGATTGTCATCTGATGCCTATTCATCAAGTCATCAAGAAATTAAAAACCACAAGTTTAGAAACACTGGAAATCAAATTATGTTTTTTTTCTTTTCCTACTATTCTTTTATTCTTTCCTTTTCTTTCGAGAAGGGTAAGATCTCTATTAAGGGGTCTTTGGTTCAAACACGAGTTATGCAGAGATTAATTATGCAGGGATTAGTTATAAATGGACTAGTTATCAGAGTTTAATTACACAAGAATTAGTATTGCGGGGATTAGTTATACGAAAATTACCTTATGTAAGGATTAGTAATATAGAAATGTACTGTCAGTATTATTAATTATTTGTCTAGTTTATTCTATTAACATTGTTAGCATATTATAAATATGTTTTTTAAACCAAAGAAAAAAGTTTGAATAGAGGGTATTCTTGTCATTTTGTGTTTTAATCCAAGTATTACTAATACATTTATTAGTTATTCCATCTTCTACCCTGCATAAAATAATACATAGATTCCCTCATAACTTATACATGTATTAGTTATGGAAAAGAAAAACATAAACCAAACATTGTATTAGCAATGCTATGTTTAATGTGGAAAAGAGAAAAAACCAACCAAACATTGTATAACTTATGCTAGATTTTATGTGGAGATTATTTTTCCCCATTTTTGTAACCGGCAACCAAAAGACCCCTTATGTAATCAGTTGAGAACAAGTCATCAAGTAGTGGCTCACCTCTGTTATGTGGACCCTCCCATGGAAACCGGACCCAAATTTGAGTCTCAATTCAAGTGGCCTTATTTCAGTAATCTGCAGTTAATCGAAAAGACAAGATATAATCCCCAGCTAATTTATGATCTCAATCTTGCATGCAGTAAGAGTAACTACTACCAGGGACGATATCCATACCTCTGCCTGAACCAGCGATCCAGCATTATAACTAGATTTCTTTTTAGCCCTCTTGGAACTCGACGTTTCAATAGCTTCACTAATAGATTTAAGCAGCAGCAGCAATCTCCCACTTGTTGAAGGAGAGGGAGTGGCCATAACAGTGGCAATGACACTACATTAAAAGAAAAATGAATTACAATCTAGGAAAAAATAAATAAAAATATTACTAACTAGAAACCACAATAGCATGCATTAAATACATATGAATTACTTTAGCTATCCATAGAATAGAAAGCAAAATAGCATGAAGCCGGAGACATGAGTACATTATTGAAGCAAGAACAGTACGTTCTTCCACAGCCTTATGGAGAGGAAATTCTTAGCAACAACTTGTAGCTGTAGAGAATTCCCCCCCCTTTCACCCAACTAGTTTCCACATAAGTCATTCTAATTTTATTGTCCCGTGATTAAATTAATAATTCTTGAGCCTTGACTTAACAACCGAAATCCCCTAATATTAAAATACTACATAGAAAGAGGTGTACGCTCCTGACGTTCCTATATCACAAGTGATTCAGATTCCATGGTAGCTTTCTCTTATATATTCTTCCATTCACATATCAGCTAGCCATATCTTCTGACTGGTATATGCGCACATATCATACTGGGATGAAAGGGCAGCCCGGTGCACAAAGCATCTCACATTCACGCAGGATTCGGGGAAGGGCCGCACCCCAAGATGGTAACTCCTATATCTAAATTCCCTTGACTTTATCAAGTTGGCACATTTCCCTTGAACCATACTAGAAGATTCTTCAACATACATTTTTCCTTTGATCATACTACCTCATTCACCCATTTGCTATTCAAAAAGCATAAACTACAACCACGTCGATGCAAGTTTTACTCTCTGAACTTCCTGATTTTCTCTTACTTCCTTCCCAAGTCTAGTGATACTACCTCTTGGACGATGTCAAATCACAGCATTTAGACCATGATTTAATGCACATCTCATTTGCTTTTCCTTTAGAATTCGTAAACATCAATTTCATTGTCAACTCGAGTACAATAAATTCCAAACATCAGCAAAACCACTAAATGGTAAAAACCAATAAATGAAATGACAATCTGTTTTAGCTGTGCAGCTAGACATCATAAAGTAACGGACAATGAAAACACAATTAAAAAAATACAATGGAAATTATCCGGATTGTTACCTCTCTCCATTGGCAAATGATTTAGGGGGTAGATTTTGAGTGTTGTAATCAGCTCGTGATGCATATCCAAGAGTGTTATTATATGATGGTAGTGAAACCACCTGGTTAACAGAAATGGCTAAGCATGCCTAAACAGTATGGATAGAAGCGAGCCAAAAAAATTACAACAAAAAACTGAAAAGACTTGCCAAGTAATTTTCTTTAACAATCTCCACAACTGCATTTACAGTTTGATTTACTTCCAATTCCCCAAGTGCTTCCCTCTTGCGTTTCTGTTTATGAAGGGAAAGTAATCAGATACATGAAAGAGAAAAAGAAATGTAGTGCAACCTGTGAGAAGGCACGGGAGAAAATATGTTATTGATATTGGATCATAAATACAATACAAGAAATCTCTATTTATAGCTATACACTACATGGAGATATTACTCCTCTTCTAATGTGGGACAAGACTACACTATACATATCTGTAAACTAACACTCCCCCTCAAGCCGGTGCATACACATCATATGTACCGAGCTTGTTACACATGTAACTAATACGAGAACCAGTAAGAGCCTTAGTGAAAATATCTGCTAGTTGATCATTCGACTTTACAAACTTTGTAATATCTCCTGAAAGTATTTTTTCTCTGACAAAGTGACAGTCGATCTCAATGTGTTTAGTCC